TTGTTTTTGGATGGAATGTTCTATAAATATCAATTAAGTCCATCTTGTTTAATGTGTCATTTAAAGCTTGTTTCCTTATTTATTTGCATTTTGGATGATCTGTCCATTGATGAAAGTGGGGTGTTAAAGTCCCCTACTATGATTGTGTTACTGTCGATTTCTCCTTTTATGGCTGTTAGTATCTGCCTTATATATTGAGGTACTCCTGTGTTGGGTGCATAAATATTTACAATTGTTAAACCTTCTTCTTGGATTCATCCCTTGCTCATTATGTAGTGTCCTTCTTTGTCTCTTGTAATGGCCTGTATTTTAAAGTCTCTTTTGTCTCATATGAGAATTGCTACTCCAGCTTTCTTTTGATTTCCATGGAATATCTTTTTCTATCCCCTCACTTTCAGTCTGTATGTGTCCCTAGGTCTGAAGTGGGTTTCTTGTAGACAGCATATATATGGGTCTTGTTTTTTTATCCATTCAGCCAGTCTATGTCTTTTGGTTGGAGCATTTATTCCATTTACATTTAAGGTAATTATAGATATGTATGTTCCTATATCCAGTTTCTTAATTGTTTTGGGTTTGTTATTGTAGGTCTTTTCCTTCTCTTGTGTTTCCTGCCTAGAGAAGTTCCTTTGGCATTTGTTGTAAAGCTGGTTTGGTGGTGCTGAATTTTCTTAGCTTTTGCTTGTCTGTAAAGGTTTTAATTTCTCCGTCAAACCTGAATGAGATCCTTGATGGTAGAGTAATCTTGGTTGTAGGTTTTTCCCTTTCATCGCTTTAAATATGTCCTGCCAGTCCCTTCTGGCTTGCAAAGTTTCTGCTGAAAGATCAGCTGTTAACCTTATGGGGATTCCCTTGTGTTTTATTTGTTGTTTTTCCCTTGCTGCTTTTAATATTTTTTTGTTGTGTTTAATTTTTGATAGTTTGATTAATATGTGTCTTGGTGTGTTTCTCCTTGGATTTATCCTGTATGGGACTCTCTGTACTTCCTGGACTTAACTATTTCCTTTCCCATATTAGGGAAGTTTTCAACTGTAATTTCTTCAAATATTTTCTCAGTCCCTTTTTCTTTTCTTCTTCTGGGACCCCTATAATTCGAACGTTGGAGCATTTAATGTTGTCCCAGAGGTCCCTGAGACTGTCCTCAATTCTTTTCATTCTTTTTTTCTTTATTCTGCTCTGCAGTAGTTATTTCCACTATTTTATCTTCCAGGTCACTTATCCATTCTTCTGCCTCAGTTATTCTGCTGTTGATTCCTTCTAGAGAATTTTTAATTTCATTTATTGTGTTGTTCATCATTGTTTGTTTGCTCTTTAGTTCTTCTAGTTTCTTGTTAAACGTTTCTTGTAATTTATCCATTCTACTTCCAAGATTTTGGATCATCTTTACTATCATTATTCTGAATTCTTTCTCAGGTAGACTGACTATTTCCTCTTCATTTGTTTGGTCTGGTGGGTTTTTACCTTGCTCCTTCATCTGCTGTGGGTTTCTCTGTCTTCTCATTTTGCTTATCTTACTGTGTTTGAGGGTCTCCTTTTCACAGGCTGCAGGTTCATAGTTCCCATTGTTTTTGGTGTCTGCCCCCAGTGGGTAAGGTTGTTTCAGTGGGTTGTGTAGGCTTCCTGGTGGAGGGGACTAATGCCTGTGTTCTGGTGGTTGAGGCTGAATCTTGTGTTTCTGGTGGGAAGATCCATGTCTGGTGGTGTGCTTTGGGTTGTCTGTGACCTTTCTATGATTTTAGGCAGTCTCTCTCTTAATGGGTGTGGTTGTGTTCCTGTCTTGCTAGTTGTTTGGCATAGGGTGTTCAGCAGTGTAGCTTGCTGGTTGTTGAGTGGAGCTGGGTCTTGGAGTTGAGATGGAGATCTCTGGGAGATTTTTGCTGTTTGATATTACATGGAGCTGGGAGGTCTCTGGTGAACCAGTGTCCTGAACTCGGCTCTTCCACCTCAATGGCAGAGCACTGACGCCTGGCCAGAGCACCAAGACGCTCTCATCCACACAGCTCAGAACAAAAGGGAGAAAAAGAGAAAGAAAGAAAAAATAAAATAATGTTATTAAAATTAAAAATGATTATTAAAAATAAAAAAAATTAAAAGTAATAAAAAAGAAAGAGCAACCAAACCAAAAAACAAATCCACCAATGATAACAAGCACTAAAAACTATACTAAAAAAAAAAGGACAGACAGAACCCTAGTACAAATGGTAAAAGCAAAGGTATACAGACAAAATCACACAGAATCATACAAACAAACAGTGAAACACAAACAAAAAGTGAAAAAGGGGAAAAATATATAAATCATTTCTCCCAAAGTCCATCGCCACAGTTTGGGATGATTTTTTGTGTATTCAGGTATTCCACAGATGCAGGATACATCAAGTTGATTCTGAAGATTTAATCCGCTGCTCCTGAGGCTGCTGGGAGAGATTTCCCTTTCTCTTCTTTGTTCGTACAGCTCCTGGGGGTTCAGCTTTGGATTTGGCCCCACCTCTGCATGTAGGTCGCCTGAAGGCGTCTGTTCTTCGCTCATACAGAGCGGGGTTAAAGGAGCAGCTGATTCGGGAGCTCTGGCTCAGTCAGGCCACGGGGAGGGAGCGGTACGGATGCGGGCGAGCCTATGGTGTCAGAGTCCGGCGTGACGTTGCACCAGGCTGAGGCCCGCCATGCGTTCTCCCGGGGAAGTTGTCCCTGGATCACAGGACCGTGGCAGTGGCGGGCTGCACAGGCTCCCGGGAGGGAATGTGAGGATAGTGCCCTGTGCTTGCACACAGGCTTCTTGGTGGCGGCAGCAGCAGCCTTTGTGTCTCATGCCCGTTTCTGGGATCCTCTCTGATAGCAGGGGCTCAAGCCCATCTGAGTAGCTCGTTGAGGCGGCGCTGTTAATCCCCTCTCCTTGCGCACCGCAAAACAAAGAGGCAAGAAAAAGTCTCTTGCCTCTTCGGCAGCTCCAGACTTTTTCCCGGACTCCCTCCCGGCTAGCCGTGGCGCACTAGCTCCCTTCAGGCTGTGTTCACGCCGCCAACCCCAGTTGTCTCCCTGGGATCCGACCTCCGAATCCAGAGCCTCAGCTCCCAGCCCCCGCCCGCCCCAGCGGGTGAGCAGACAAGCCTCTCAAACTGGTGAGGGCTGGTCAGCACCGATCCTCTGTGCGGGAATCTCTCCGCTTTGCCCTCCGCACCCCTGTTGCTGTGCTCTCCTCCGTGGCTGCGAAGCTTCCCCCTCTGCCACCCGCAGTCTCCGCCCGCAAAGGGGCTTCCTAGTGTGTGGAAACCTTTCCTCCTTCACAGCTCCCTCCCACTGGTGCAGGTCCCGTCCCTATTATTTGTCTCTGTTTTTTTCTTTTGCCCTACCCAGGTACGTGGGGAGTTTCTTGCCTTTTGGGAGGTCTGAGTTCTTCTGCCAGCGTTCAGTAGGTGTTCTGTAGGAGTTGTTGCACATGTAGATGCATTTCTGATGTATTTGTGGGTTGGAAGGTGATCTGCACCTCTTACTCTTCTGCTATCTTGAAGCTCTTCCTGAGTACCTTTTAAAAAACTGGTTAAACCCATTGAAAGTTAGTTAAAAGCACTTTCTACTTTGGAAAAAACCTCAAAACTTTATCAAGACTTTAGGTGCATAGGTGATCTTTGCATTTTGTGTTTTGTTTTTCCCCATCTGTATCGAAGATATGTCCATGTCCTGTAGTTACTGCTTTGACCCGCATTATTCTTTCTCTACCCTCAGCCACTTTCCTGACTCAGGTCGTCATTGTCTCTTTCATGTTGAATTTTATCAGTTGGTAGACTGATCTTATGTCTAGTCTCATTTTTTAAAAAAGTTATTAGTGATAAATAATTGTGCTCTTCAGCAGTATTTTCAATTTCTCTTCCTTCCAGCACAAGGTAAACCTGCAGTTTTGTCCCTGTGTGAACTGTGAGATGTGACATGTGTCACTTTTTGTTGGGAACCTATCAGGACAAGGGCTCAAGTCACATGTCCCCTACCCTCTTTTGCTATTATTGCTGGTGATGCTCACATGTGAAGGCTCTGCCAGCCAGCGTCGTTGAATGAGGATGAAATGGAATAGCACCCTTGTCTCCACCCTAAACCTGAGACAAACCAAGAAATAAATTTTAGTTGTTTTAAGCCACTGAGAATTTTAGATTTTTGACTGCAATATAACATAGACTTTCTTTACTGATAGACCATTCTACTCACAAAATAAATCTTTGAAGAGTAGTCTTTTCTATATGCAGATCTTGTGCTGTTACCACTGTGCTCAGAATTCTTTTGTGGGACCCCAAGATAGATAAATAAAAACAAAATTCCTAACTCTGGTACCCAAGGCCCTTTATGAACTGGCTTCTAATTATTAAAATGAATAAAAGAATTTATTAATGTGACAAATTTTAAAAATATGAAAATATATAGATTTCCTATATATAATATAATGGAGTGAAAGTTTTTTCAGTTATATCATCAGCTTTCCCCCTTTCTCACTATATATACTCTTTAACTGTGCCATTTATAGTACACATTTAAATAATACCCATTTCTAGGTCTTTGCCAAATTTAACTCAATATGGATTTTCCTTTAACAGATGACTATAATCTTCTTTCATCCTAAAATTTTAGTATTCACAACAATCAGTGGGGAAAGTACATTTATTGTGACAAATGAGAGGAGCTTGTGTTTGGGTGTCATAGAGAGGTGGGGAATCCTGCCTGGGGCATTTACTAGTTGCATCACCTGAGACCTGATTTCTAACTGCTTTGAATTTCAGACCCCTCCTTTACAGAATTAGGATGACAATCCCTACCATAGACAATTGTGAAGTTTAAATTAAATCATGCATTTAAAGGGCTTGACATAGAGGTAGAGCTCAATTATTACTGGTTCATTCTTCTGCAGATGAGAATATAGAAGCTCAGAGTTGAATACCAGATGAGTTTCTACTCTTTTCCAGGTTGTGGCCTTCCAGGCTTTGTACATTCAAAACTGATTTAAATTTCCTTTTTCCTTCCAGATTGTCACTTCCTTTAGTTCCTTTTCTTTATTCTTCAATATCTATGAACGCTGCTGTGGTTGGGGGAGAGGAGGCTGCAGAGAGACAATACTGACATCACAAGAGCCCTCGAAGCCTTCTTGGAATCATATGGAATTTTTAGGTGGTGATTTGGAAAGTACTGCTAGAAGCATCTCTCATCACTTCTGAAAGGTATATATATCCTTCAGTCTATCCCTGACAAGTGCTTTAGGGAAGCAATTTCTTGTGACTACAGGTAAAAAAACTCTGCAAATTAAGGCTCATAAACATGTGGAGGATTCTTTCTCTTAATGGTGATGTCTCAAGGCAATATGTCAGGGCAGCTTGGGATCTGCTGGTAACTCAGAAAAATAAGAAACCAGATACTTCTTAATATTACTGTCATTATATTGTCAATTGTCTTTTTTTTAACACCAGAGATTTTAAAGAGGTAGGAATTAGAATGTCTATTAATGTCATATATTCAGTAGCTTTTGGAATGTAGGAAATATCCTTGCTGCTTGGAGAATCATTTCTTCCTCTTGAACAAAGAAATGTCAGCATTTTTAGTGGTGGAACTCCCAAATTTCATTCAGTTCTTTACCATATGTAAACTATTATGCCATAATAAAAATTATGTTTAAAAAACCCAACAATGTAAAAGCATAGGAAAAGGTAATCTCAAGTTAGGTAGAGTAAACATGTTAAAAATATATGCAATATAAGCATGATTTATAAGAAAAAAACCAATCTGTAGATATTTACAAGGAAACACAGCAAGATGTTAATAGTGGACACCTCTGCAGAGTGATGTTAGGTGATCTTTAGTTTCTATTTCTTAATTTACTGTATTTTCTAAAGTTTGTACAATGACCCACATATTTTATTGATATTATAAATGTAATTACTCACATATATGTATATATATGAAATTTATCTATTTTGCATATTTCTGAAATTGGTCACATTACAGAGCTCTTATTAATTCTTGTTAGTGCTATCAGTTGACTTACTATTTAGCAGCCCAGAAACATGTTAAATAATAGTCAATAACCATGTGTTAGTTGTGATTTTAAAAGAAATTCTCTACTTTGTTATTATCGGTATGCTAGCTCTCATTTTTACATAAATATTATTTATTAAGTTACAGAAACCCCATTTTTAGACTTAGGTCTCAAATGCCTATTTGGCATCCTGCTTGAGTGTCGTGCCAGCCTGTTAGAGACAGTTCATTTTTCACTGTTATGCCTTCTCCTCTTCTTCCTTTTAATAATAGACTCCCCTAAGGTGCAGCTGAGCATATGGCTGTCCTCCTAGAGGCCATGTGGGCTGTAAGTAAGCTTTGTCTAGTGTGATGGGAGAGAAGTGATGTCTTCAACTTCTGGATCATGTTATTATAAGGAAGTGGTTTGCATTCCACTCCTTCCCTTTCCACTGGCTGGAATTAGGCAACAACAGTGTCTACTGCCTCAGATCTATGTTGCCACTTCTGAGGATGTAGCAACAACTAATCCTATTACGAGCATCTAGCCTATGTGTCCAAAGCAGCATAGTTCAAATCTTAATCTCTCCTGCCCCTTTCTTCACATCTTCTCTTCCCTGAAATGCCCCATTGTTATGATTTACCACACCTACTCCATTCAGCAAATCTGTCCCCATATTTTCAAAATATATCTCCAACCGAACCATTCCTTAACATTTTTATCCCTGGGCTAGACTAGTCTGATGATATTCTCCTAACTGTTCTTCTATTCTTGTGGCTTATAATATGTTCCCCACATAGTAGAGTGCCTTTTTAAAAATGGAAATCAGGTTACATCACTTCTGCTTGGCATCCGTTAACACTTAAAATAAAATTCTAGCAAGAAAATTTCTTTGAGATCTGACCTCTGTCTTCTTCTCTGGCTACATCTCTTACCATTTTCTTCCTACCCAACTCTTATCTACCAGCACTGGCTTTCCTACTGCCCCCAAGACATACCATCCTTATTCTCACCTTGGGAACTTTATATTTGTTATTTCTCTGCCTTCAAAGTTCTTCTTTCAAATACTGTCTTAGCAAACTCTTCTCTGCATCATCCAAACTTACCTGAGCAGTTTTTTCCCACTTGCCTTCTAAAACAGCTGTTTCTTTCTAAATGACACATTTCCTTCCTTCATAAGGTGATCTAACACCTTAGTATTACCTTAAATTATATTATTTATTCTTTTTTAAAAATAGTTAATATATTTTTCTGTCACTATAATATAAATTCCATGGTGGTAGGGATGTTGTATTGCTTATCCTATATTTCCAGAACTTAAACAGCACCTGGAACAGAATGGGTACTCAAAAAATATTTGTTTCATAAATCAATATTTAGTATTATATAAAATGATCAATTTTATATTTTATCTGTTGATATACTTAATTTATTAATATATTTGCTACTATACTTTTATTTCTAGACTAAACTCTTCTTGATCATGCTCCCTTTAATTTGATGTTAGATAATTTTTTCCTAGTATTTTTATTGATATTTATAGATGAGACTAATCAATAGATTTTGGGGTTATCTTTAAAAGCTTCATAAAATGAACTGCAGTCTTCTACATTTTTTTCTATGCCTCAACATATTCTATAGAAAAAATATTATCTGTTCCTTGTTAATATGAAAGAAAGCACCCATGAAATTGCTAAAACCAGGATAGTTAAATAATTATTTTATTACTTTAAAAATCCTTTAATGATTAACAGTATAATTAGGTATTTGATTTCTTCTTTTTCAATAATAATTCATTTTTTCCTAGAAAAATATTAATCTTATTGAAATTTTCAAGTTTAATACCAATGACATTTTATACAATTTTATGATGATTTTAATACCTATCTTCGGTAGTCTGATCCCCTTCTCATTCACAGGTGTGTGTGTGTGTGTGTGTGTGTGTGTGTGTGTGTGTGTGTGTGTG